GGGGGGGGGGAAGGGGACAACACGGACGTCCCTTTGTTTACATGAATGGGGTCATTTTCTTCTGAAAAAAGAGGGTAACTTCTCAGTTTTTTGAAACTTACACTCCTAATCCCAATAAAACTGCACAATTTTCATTTGCGTTTCTTCGCTTCTGTTACTTCAGTCCACACAACGGAAAGATGCTGTTAGTGGTGTTTGGGGTATTGCCTTGGCCGTGCTGTGTGAGGTTCCTTTTCTTCAGGGGTAGCTTTCACCTTTGTACATGAACGTAACGCATTAGGTGGTGCGTGTGTTGGATTCCATTATGTTTGTTACTAAGTTGCCTTTTTACCCTTTTACTGTGTAGTCTCTTTGCAACCTTATAATTGGATCAGTGCATACGGGAAAGCTACTCTCAGTGGTTGCAGGTTTGTATACAATATTGACTTGAATACCGATAGAACCCACAAAGGGGAAGATGTACTATTTATTAATAAACTGAGAAGGTGCCGAGAGGGCAGACGTTATCTCACGGACTGTTGACTTTACAGAACCTTTGAGATAAGAATACGCGTCATTCTGTCTTTTATGTTTGCAACATTATTATTAATATTTATTATTTTTAAATTCTTTCCTATTTATTGCGATAAGCCGCACATTATTAGACTACTTATTCACTAAACTAAAGAAAAACAAAGAAAGTAAACGAATGGCCTCCGTGTCGGACCTTGATCTTCTCGCGGAACAACTCTACGCGAGTCCAGACCCGGGCCTGCGGCAGAGCGCCTATGAGCGTCTGAACTCGTTTACCCTCGAAGGCAGCGAACCGGGCGCGTTTTACACCATTCTTCATCAATCCAACAGCCAATATAGCCTACTTTTTGTTGCCCAGGGTCTCGTGACGTGGTTTAAACATAATTTAAAATACATCTCGTCCGAGGTTCGTCGGAGACTGCTTCGGGGGGAGGTCGGGGAATGTTTACTTCGCCTGGCCGAAGGGGGTGCCCCGCAGCACGTCCTGACGAGTATGTTAGTGTCTTACGCCAAACTCACCAAACTGGCTTTTTTAAAAGAGCCCTACCTCCTCGAGGCGGTGGAATTTCCCGTCGAGATGCTTCAGGCTTCGAACAGTTTGAGAGAAGGCGGGCCCGGGAATGATGAGGATTCCAATCACACACCTCGCGTTCTCGGGCTGATGCTGCTGGACGCGCTGGTCGGTGAATTTTCCAATTTTGACTCCTCCAAGTCGAAGACTTTCATGAGTTTTTCCGAACACCGGCGGTGTAGTAATAACTTCCGAGATGAGTGCCTTCGCGCGCTTTTCGAGGCCGCACTTCGCGAGCTGGAGAAGATCGACCCGACAACCCTCCACGAAGCTGACCGCGCTGGGAGGAAGTCCCGCACGGTCTTTCTCGCCGAAAAGACGGTGGCG